AGGCAGGCCCAGGGTATTTGGGTTTGAGGCAGATCTTACATTGCACTTCCATTGAAAAAGTGATCTTGTGGTGAAGAGGGTTGGAGACCACTGATCTAATTGTCAGAACTATATCAGGGCTGCAGATGCTTTCTTTAAAGTAAAGCCCATAAAGGAGATATTACTTGCAGAAAAAAAAATCCCACCGGACTGAAGGCTGCCTTTGTCCAGAGGTTTCTTCAGAATGCAGAGAAATATCGATTAAAATTCAAAGCCACCATGCTAACAAAATCAATATGGATCTGATATTTAACAAAATAAGGGAAAATCTTGATTCCTCGCCTGAAAAGTATCCTTCAAATCTTTAATTTAAATATTCAAACACCTTGCATGTACAGTATCAATAAAATCAATCCTACATTAAAATGATTTAGAAGAAATAAAATGACAGAAATGTGTTGAGGACTCAGATTGAATTGTATATAACGTTAGCAACCTACCCTGAGAAAGCCAGTCTAAAGCACATACGCATGCACACCAAGCAGAACCTTGCTAATTAAACCAATACAGGTTGGACCTCTCTAATCCTGAATTCTCTGGCCCAGCAACATCCGGGGTCTGGCATGATTTTAGTTAGCCAGATGTCCACTTATCCTGGGCATGGCCAAGTTTCCCACGGTCCCATAAAGTTTGTTTACAGCCTCCAGTCCTGGCTCTCAGTGCTCTTCATTGTTATTTAGCTCTAATTTACCCCTAAATGTCTTTGAAGAGCCCAGGAAACAGTGGAAGTGTTGACAATTGACCTTCCTTGGTTCAGCAAATTCTCTAGTATGGCACCAGTCAGGTCTTGGGATGTAAAGGGTTAACCAGCTAACTGGTTACCCAGTTAGCATCCCCCTTACCAGGTGATGCTTACTGGGTAAATGATTAACCGGCAGCCCGGCTGGCTGGTACAGCTCCCTGCCTGACATGGGCAGAGGGCTGCTCCAGGCCAGTCAGGCCCACCGCACTGCACCATGGGCAGGGGTGTGCTCGCAGCTCCCCACCCACAACGTAACACAGTGGGCCTGGCCACAGTGGGCCCATCCCTGTCTGAGTAGCCCCTGCCTGTAATGCGGCGGGCTCGGCCCAGCCTGGCTGGAGCAGTCCACAGTGTAGTGGGCCCAGTCAGCCTAGAGCAGCCCCTGGCTGAAGAGCTGCTCAACCCAGTCTGTCTGACTGTCTTTCAGCTAGCAAAGATCACACTCATAAGGGATGCTCTGGGGGCACATCTGGCCAAAATGTCTTGATGTTCGATCATAACTTTTCACGTTGCACTGTACTGTAATATGTCTTATAAAAATAACAGTCGTAGTAATAGGACACCTCACAGCAATTAGCTGCTATTAAACTATGGCTGAAAAGTGAGTTGAGACTG